ATTGCAATTAAAGGACTGACCACAGGGGGCGCTGATGTGACGCATTTGCAGCCACACAAAATGAAGAGGAGATGCACACAGGGCCTTTTCCAATATCAACTCTCATGAAATTTCATTTGGATTGTAAATGTACAGTAATTTACTGTCATAAATGTGTAATGGGCCCCTGAATCCACCGACATTGTGCTGGCTAATCAACTCATTTGACAATGAATAGAAATCTGTTAAGAAAGAACTTAGCATTTCGCACGCTTAAAAATGGGACTTTTCCGTGAAAAAACAGGAACTTTTTGGGGGAATGTTTTTGGTGCTGGTCTCATTTTGTACAATTGCTTCTAACAGCCTAAACTTAGTTCAAATTTATCATAGCCATTTTAAAACAGATTGTTTCAAAAATCCCATTTCTGATGTGCTTTGAATTAGATTCTCGCACATGAAAACAAAATAGCATTAGCAATGTTATTTGAAATTTTACAAAAACCTTTTTTAATAAAGAAAACAAAAGAGAAATTAAAAAAAGGAACAAGACAGTGCACTACAAAACTGTTTATTATTTATTTTCATATTTTAATTGATTATATTAATTTTGAATATATTTCATGCAATACCTCATGAAATATATTTCAATTTAAACTAAAATAATTAAATAAAAATATGATCAAAAATATCTAATAAAAAGGGATATAAAAAAATTAACAAATAATGAAGAGCTTATATAGATATATTAACATTATATATTATATTAGCATGAAATTAACAACAGCATTCAAAAAAAGATTATTCTAAAACAGAAAAAAAGGAAAACAATATAACTTCACAAAACACACTGATGAAAAACCACTATGCTAATATCCCAAGAGGCAATCCACTGTAAAAACATGTAATCAAATTGAATTTCAATTTTGTGACCAAGTGGTGTATAATGGAAAGATTGCTGGATGCAAATCACCTGCGCTCCTAGTCAGAAATCAAGTGGTGTGTGCATGCGTGAGTGTGTGTGAGAACGAAAGTATAATTCACCCCCCGGTAAGAGTAAATTCAGAACGGTGAGGGTGAATCAGTTTCGAGGCGAATGATTGAGCCCTCTTCCTCAGATCCCGCCATCAACGTACAAATGAACAGCTTGGAGGTGAGATACCCGGTGAGGAAGAAGCGCTATCATGCCAGTCGTCATTATTCATCTCCTCTAGTCCCTGAGAATACTGACCGGCGAGGGTCTGGGAGGGGGTGGGCCGAGATGGTGTCCTGTTCGAGGCATATAATGGCCTCCAGGACAGAGAGAGATGGAGTACTGACAGACTGAGGCAGTGTGACAGGGCGCTGCTGCACTTTTAATTCTTTCACTCTCTCTAACCCGTCGCTCCTGTGTGGGGTATGGTGGACGGCGCTGGGAGCAACGGTGTGTGATATGAAGCGGATGAGCATCCACACACCCACATGTGCTAAAAAAATGACTGAAGGCTCATCTATCACAGGAAAAGTGCTGCTGTGTTTCTGGTTGTGGGGCGGTGGGAGTTGTAAGGTCATAGTAATTAAGAAAGACCTGCCTTTAAGGTTAGGATATCTCTGGTCACCTTTAAAAGTCCTTTCAAACTACATTTTCAGTGCATTTTGTGCTTAAAGTGAGCTTGAATTTATCATTGAAATATTTAGATTCTGTTGAACTTTGAAGCTTCTGCAATGAAAGAATTCAAATAGTTCACCTGTAAATGAAAACTATGAATATTTACTCACCCGCATGTCGTTCCAAAGCTGTATGACTTTTTTCTTCTTCTGTGAAACACAAAATAGAGTGCTTAATGTTTAAAATGTTTCTCAAAAACGACAAACAGAACAAAGTACCACCATAAAAAATCATTTAAACAACAAAAATTCCAAGGTCTTAAGAAACCTTTATGTGAGGAAAGAAAATAAAAACAATAATTCAAATCATTATTCGCTAAAATGAACATTGAATTTTGGTACAGTTAGTTGATTACACATGAGAACCAACTGTGTTTTTAATCATTTACAGCAAACATGCTATAATGTGTCTTCATGCACTATATTTGAATTTCCACAAACACAAATGAGATTTGAATAGAAGTTTTTAGGTAAATAATGGCTTACATTTTGGCCTAATGCTCATAAAAAGCTATCGAATGAGTTCAGAATATAGTGTATAAGTAATATGGGCCACGCTAAATACACACTTGGAAAGACATGAAGGTGAGTAAATGGTGTCAGAACTTTAATTTTTGGGTGATGTAAGTGTAGCCCAAAAAAGTTGTTTCTTTTTTGTCATTTGAACCTTACCGTTACAATGATGAAGCACCATTCATGGCATGAAATGAAGTTTCCAGCGCAGCCAACTCTCTGAACAATCCCAGCTGTTGCTCTGTGTCACTGAACTCTCAGGTAATTTTGAGGTGAGGTCATTTTAACCTCTGAACACACACAGGTTACACCTGAAGTCTATGGGAAAAAATGAAGGATGATGGGTAGGCAGTAAATACCAGTGCCTGTGAGGTATTGTGCTATATTTCTCTGACAGGAATGAGACTGACATCACTTTAAAACAAAGAATGAGAACACCACACATGCTGAAAACAATCTGAGTAATGAAAGACATGACTTTTGCCCATTTATATCGTAAATTGAGCATTCTAAAGTTTAAACTGATTTCAACTGGTTTAGATATATTACCATATCTCATTTCATTGAAATTAGGCTGTCTGTTTAATTAAGTGCTCAATTTTGTGTTAAATGATTGACAACTATTTGGAGCAATTGATTCTATAATGAGATATTTCATGGAAGAACCGTCTGCATTTGATTATACATTTTGCATTATTGTATCTTCATGCAGCTGGTGAGTTTACTCTAAATAATAAAAGAAAAAAAAAGCAATTATCTCTAAACAATAATTGTTGTAAACAACTGTTTACAAGTGTAATTTACCACAATTATATTTTCGATACAGTGTGTATTTTAAATGTTCATCCTGCATTGCTTCACCTCAGAGGCCGGTTTCATAAACTGCTTAGACTAGTCTGAAAAAGTTAGTCGTCTAATTTATTTTCTTCAAGACAAAAAGGTAGATTGGTTTAATGTGAATCCAAAAAGTAAGACTGATTACCCCTTGGCTAACTGCTAGTTGGTCAAACTAGTTTGTAAGACACAGTCTTAACATAGTGTCTCCACTGTGAGTCTGTTACTGTTTTCTAAAGGTAAATGACAGCAGACTACAGAAATAAATGCACACTTTTTTTGCATACATTTTATATGCCCCTTCCAAAATAATATGTGCAATTTTGATGCTAAAATGTGCGTTTCACAAGCATTAATGGTTATTTGTAGCCTGTTGTGATAGTTGTATTCTATTCTCTCAATTGTACTGAGTAGCAAAGCCCGATTTCATCATCACTGAGCTGATAACGGAAGAAACTCATATGTGCAGAGCATGCTGGGAAACCAAAGAGCCGATAGGACCCGGATGAGTTTTAAGAATCACATGAGGCTTTACCGCTCAGGACAAATCCGAGACCCACTCACAACTATTACAAAAGTCTGTCACCGATGCTCAAGAAGGCCACACACACTAATACATACCAAGAATATGTAACATTTTAGGATAGTTTGTGTAAACTTAGTTATCAACTTGCCTGGTTTACAGTATGTACATATGTTATACCACATAGATTCATCAGGACAGCATAAAAAAAAAATCAATACTGTTTTTTGTTCTTAAGATGTATTGTAGATCCTGTAAGGTTTATTATCTCTAATATCAAAATCCTGTTTAATTTTGAACAAAATAATGTAAAAACACACTATTAGTAGACTCGAATACCTACTTCAAATGACTTTGTGCAAAACAACACACCCAAAGACTCCAAATGCCATCAGAGCGGTACTTTAACCGTCTTCTCCTCAGTACTTCACTGGTCAAAGAGAATGCAAATGACATGCCAGTCAAATCACCTCAGAGGCATGGGATGCGTTTGGAGCCTGTTTAAAAGGCCAGACACATAACTATGGTTTACAACACTGTATGAGTAGACAGAGAGAGAGAAAGAGACAAAAACACTGCCGATATTTTTGAAGCCGGCAGACGCTCCACATGGGGATTGTGAGCGCTCATCATCTTGTTTAGAGTGCATTAGCAGGCAGCGCCTCAGCCTCCTTTGCTCTAGTTTTCTTGTTGTCGGGGTGGAGTGTCCTGAGGCGATAACAGGAGCTATCCCTCCCTCTCTTTTCATTCGCTAATACGCAGGGGCCTAATTTTCCATCAGCAAAGCATGAAATCAGTTGAAAATGCCACACAACAAGAGTCGCTGCGGCTTTGCCACGTGAATTTTGGCCTCTAAATAAAGTTAAACTCCTGGGTGGAAGTAAAGTGGCCGTGCCTGCGGTTCGGGTGAGTAAAAACAACACAGGCTCATTATCTATAAATAGCCTAGAATTTATTTATCATACTAAGATTAGGGAATTGAACAAACCTCAAGCAACACACGTGAGCAATACCCCAAATCAAGTAATTAAATTTTTTTACCTGGCAGATAATAAACTCTGTAAAAAAAAAAAAAGCCATATCTAGGTACCAGAATATCAAAAAGATGAGGATGTGGGCCCAAGAATGCCCTAGCAATCACCTATAACATCCCAAGTACATCAAAGCAAATGCATAGCCATGCCTGACAACCACTCCAAAACAGTACACAAAAAAACTAAACAAAACAACCGTTTTCTATTTTAATATATTTTAAAATGTATTTTGTTTTCCTGTGATGCAAAGCTCAATTTTCAGCATCATTACTCCAGTCTTCAGTGTCACATGATCCTTCAGAAATCATTGTAATATGCAGATTTAATGCTCAAGAAACATATTATTATCAATAAAATAAAATAACTGTGCTGTGCAAAAGAACAGTATTTATTTGAAACCGAAATCTTTTATAACATTATATGTCTTTACAATCACTCTTGATCAATTTAATGCATCCTCGCTGAAGAAAAAAACAAAAATTTCTTACTGACTCCAAACTTTTTTATTAAAAGTATCATAAAAAACTATTTTAGAATAAACATTTGCCCATAGAGGAGTGTGAGGAATGTTTAAGTTTTGAAGTTGCTCAGAAAGTGAAAACTTTTAGAGAACAAATAAGAGTCAAATTGAACTCACAGATTTGTTACTTTGCACTAGATTTAATGCTCAAGAAACATATTATTATCAATAAAATAAAATAACTGTGCTGTGCAAAAGAACAGTATTTATTTGAAACCTAAATCTTTTATAACATTATATGTCTTTACAATCACTCTTGATCAATTTAATGCATCCTCGCTGAAGAAAAAAACAAAAATTTCTAACTGACTCCAAACTTTTTTATTAAAAGTATCATAAAAAAACTATTTTAGAATAAACATTTGCCCATAGAGGAGTGTGAGGAATGTTTAAGTTTTGAAGTTGCTCAGAAAGTGAAAACTTTTAGAGAACAAATAAGAGTCAAATTGAACTCACAGATTTGTTACTTTGCACTCCAGCAGCGCAGACTCCAATCGCAACTTCTTTCTCTCGTTCCGCTACACAAAACAACTTCCTTCATCAGAGGACGGTTACTCCAACAAACACGCACCCTAAGAGAGCAAGAACACTAGAGCTATTTCTCTGTACTGACTGACAAAAAACCATGCAAAATAGATGACAAGAACACACAAAAAAGGGCACATAACAAACCGGAGCTCAGTTACGATGGTTTTCCCTTAATTATTGCAGGTTTGCGTCATATGGAATAGGAATACTGAATCTGTGTTTTTGTGAGTGAGAAAAATGAATGCATATTCATATTTATTTTAGAACTACAGTAACATCTTCTGATTTCTTTCAACATGGGGACAGGAGAGCTGTCAATCAATAAATTGGGGGAAAAAAGTAACTTGCGTTACTTATTTGAAAAAGTAACTCAGATATTCTCTTGTAAATTAAAAAGTAATGCGTTACTTTACTAGTTACTTGAAAAAAGTAATCGGATTACGTAACTCGCGTTACTTGTAATGCGTTACCCCCAACACTGTATTTCAGTGTGTATTAAAAAGAAAAAAACAACATGACTTGGGCCCAACTTTGACAATCAGCCAGTGATCAGATACTTTAGTGTGCAAGTTGCACTTAAATACATGTAAATGTGCACCAACAATTTGCAGACAAACAAAACTAATCACATTTTTTCCCTTTGTCCTCTCATTCTATGCTATATTAAACCCCAAGGGGTGTTTGAATTTAAAGCAAGCATGAAATCCAAACTCTTCAAGCAGATTAAATTCAGAATCAAGTAATCCATGTAAATGCTGTGACAACAGGGGGCCCTGTGCAATTAGTATGCTGGCTAGTGCTAATGCAATTAGGCAAACCAGACAGCTAGAGCTGGGAGCCGTGGACATCGAGGAAGGGCCCGTATTTCCATTTTATTCCAGAGGACACAAGTGTGCGTATCAGAATAAGAGAAATAAATGTTTCTGTTTTCTAATTTAACAGTCTTAACTTTATACACTGAAAATAAACCAAGAAAAATAAATGTACTGTTGCTATAGGGACTTCTGTCAGTAAACAAGCCTAGAGCAGAGAGGCTGTTGGAAAAAAATAACCATTTAGAGGAATCTCTTAGGTGGATCCATCAAAGTGGCAAGATGAGGAACACAATGGACCACCTAGAGGAATAAAACGCTCTCATTTGAGGGTACATAAACAAGCATGACAGGCAAATTCTCTCTGAATGTCCCAATGGAAAT